AGTTCTTGCTTAGGCAAACTCTTTGAACTCCAAGAATCTTACTTAAACTGTTCTGATCACATAATAGAGAACAAACTCATTTTTGCAACTGGCCTGAAATCCTATTTCTTCAGTAATGAAGATCTGAGATCCACCAATTGTTGATTAGATATGAGCCAGACTCCTGAAAAGCAACTCATAACATCTTACCATTATTCCTATCATCACATAGGTGAATAAAAAGATCAAAGAAATAGTCTGCTCTTGCAGCACTACTGCAATCAGCCAAAATGTTTAAAAAATTCACCTCACCGTCTAGAAATTCTGCAGGTTTTCTATTAGCAAGATATAGGCTATTATTTCTTTTCCCCCATGCTTCCAAGTTTCTGCTGTACACAAGTCAAAACCCCCCTTTAATAATACTGTCAAATGACTGTCTCCACTGTAAAAAACCTTAAATATTTTGAATGTTCTGGCTGTAACAAAGATGTTCTGGCAATTTTAATATTTAGACAGTGATATATGTATAATTAAAAAGTAATAATGGAATAATACATCTATCCAACATTTACAATAAGAAGCATTTTGGGAGAACAATAAGCCCAAATAATATTTCAGAAAAGCTAGACTTTGAGGAATGAAGATACTATAGTACGAAGTTATGGCCAAAAATATTGTATTTTTAACCAGCAACATTTTTGAGGGGCAGCAACTGTACAGTATTAGTTTTTTTCAAAAAAACCCTGTTTCTGTCCCTCGAACAACACACAATACATGCATTTAAATGACACTTTAAGAACAGCAAATATGATCTTTATTTTTAAATACTGCAAGTTTAAAAATGTATCTGAAAAAAATAATTGATCAAATAAGGATTTCCTGCAGCATGGTAAATGAGGAATCTAGCAACAGACTTCAGCTTACACTCTATTTTGAGAGAAAAAACCCAAACCAACAGATTTACAGTAAGATTGATCAGGCTGACTTTGTTTTTTTTCACACTATCTTCAAAATCTCACTCTACTCCTTTCTTCCCTGCAGCATGGCTACTGTGAAAAAGCTTGAGTGAAACTTACAGTAAAATCCCTTTAACTAGCTAAATAATGACCCTCAACTATTGTTGACTATGTAGAAATGTTTTCTGGTTTGATTGATAAAACTCAAAATGTTATGGGTAATCAAAAGCCAAAAAAGAGGAAATACCAGTAGCTTTTCTTCTCAAACTACTGTATGGTTTTAGAAAATGCCTACTAAACTAACAAACTGGACAGGGACAGATGGATTTATTTGTTTAATGCATACTAAGCTTTAGAATTTATGGTTTATGTCAAAAGAGGGACTGTATTTACAAAAGTGTGAATTTCTAAAATACTGTAGTTAATTACCTACACCAGGACATTTTAATTTCCTAATTTAGGAGGGTCTCTTCAAAACATATTTACTTTACTGGTCTCTTAGCTAGAGGTAGGTAATTTGTAGGCCTTGCTAATATGCTGTGCACACTTCATTAGTTCACTAATGTAATAGTCTGCAAGATAACCATGCACAGAGTTCCAAGAACAGCAGCACATATAATAAATTAATTGGCTAAATTTTATTTTTTCATGTGGGTTAACATGTCTTTGTTTTCTCCTAATATTTCATTCTTTTGTGAAGAATGTGTAACAAGGAAACGGTCATGAGGTTGAGTAATCTGAAAGTCTTCTGCAGCTTACAACCAAATGCTGGGAGTCTAGCAATGTCTTTATATGCAGCCCTTTTCCCCCAGTTAGAGTTTTTGCAAATCATACAGTCAATTCTGACTGATATCCAGCATAAAAAGGTCTCTTCTCCACTTTCTAACTTAAAAAAAGTGATTCACAATCATGTGGCAGTATGATTAAAAATTACAGTCCACACACCTCGACAATCAAAAGAGTCTGAATTATAAAAAGTAAACTGCCCTTATAGCTGCATCATCCTATGTAAGGACAATGCCAGTTAATTTGTGAAAAAGGCAAGTTTAAAGTTTCTGTAAAACACGTATTACAGCTTTCTTGTGCTAGTGAACTTCTAGAATACACAGGTTCCCAAAATGTTTTCCTTCCCTCCTCCCCCATTTATGACATTCAAAGAAATCACTTAATTTTGGCAAAGTTAAAAGGGTTTCTGTCTTGATGTTTTTGCCTTCAGCTTCATGTTAGAGGCACAAACTTCTGGACTCAAGTACTATAAGGCATAGTAGAAACCACCAATTAAAACAACAGCAACACCACCACCACAACGGAATATACTGCAAGTGGGAACAGCTGTGTCATTTAAAAAGGAAATGTTTTTGTAAACTGTCACACTGCAATGCTGTGTTAGGTGATTCACGTAAAGCTTGCCTTGGCATGCCAAATATTATTTTTGTTTTTCAGAACATGCTCAAATGATCTAAACATTGCCACAGGTTCAACTTACCTAAAATATACCAGAAGTAGCCCAGTGGCACACACTCTTGAAAACTTTGCAATCACAATATAACTATAAAGCATGAGTAAACTTTTGTTTTTATACAAAACTCAGAACCACATTTCCTTCTCCCCCACCAAATATCCCATAAGAAAACAAAATGAATTAAAAAAAAAACAACCAACAAAAACCCCAAAACAACACACCAAACAAGCCCAAACATTTGTTAGACACTGTCTGGTTTGTTCTTTTTTTTTTTGTTGTTTTGTTTTTTCTTTTTTGGCTACAGTTCCATTTATAGCACTGAATCCAAGGTGGGCAATGTATTCCCAGGTTAAAAGAAGGGATATTATCAACAGTGGAACTTTGAAAACAGAAGCTCTGTTGCATTTATAGAAAGATGAGGACCAATTTTGTTATGCTGTATGTAAGAGTCACTGCTCTGATCCCCTATTCAGAATGTCAGTGTCACTTTTTATAACCTAGAGCTACTTGCTTTAGCTTCATTAAATAAAATGCTTTAACTCCTTAAAATCATTAACAATAGTGACTTTTGGTTGTTGTTGTTATATCTAAGGTTTCTGCAGTTTCTAAAAGGCTGATTGATCTGATGTTCTGTATTTTTTCATGGTATTTTTAGGGCAACAGCACATACTCATTAGTACTTATGTACAACGGTTTGAAATATCTCTAAATATACTTTTCTAATAAAGCCTATTAGAAAAGTAAAAGTAACCTAACGTTAATCTGCCAAATATAAATTTATATTTAAAAGCTTATGTTCCAATCCTAAATATAATGGTATAAGTTCTTCTAATAAGACTGGTTTGTATACCTGTAAAAAGCCCAGACAAGATTTAAGCATTATTTTGAATCTGAATGGACTCTGTTTGGGTGTCTCCAATTTACTTCTTCTCAGGAATGTGCAAATGATTTTATACAGCACGATGCTAGTACCGCTCTGTACTATAGTAATTTTTTTTTTTTTGTTTTGTAAATAAAAAACCAACAACAAATCCCTAGTCAGAAATAAACTGACAAAATTTACATTCTTCTCTCTTAAAAAAGTAAATAAAATAACATTATTTAAAATGTGAATTAGCTATAAGACATACAATACAATTACATAGATACATATCAATACAGCACATTCAATTTGCCAAAAATTAATGATTACAAAGCCAATATGGATGCTGCCATATATATATATAGATGTATGTACAATGATTATAGCATTCATAATTGCACTATACCTACAACCAGTTTTAAATTACAAGGTGTTTTAAGAGGGAGCAAAAAATAGCAACTGTTATTGTTGTTTTGAAGCTGGGAGGGCCAAGGATGAAAAACGTCTCATTAGTATTTATTGTTAACTTTGGTAATCAACTAATAAGCCATTCTTTCTTCCACCTCCCATCTGCTGCTGTGAGGCAGCGTTTCTGTGTTAAGTGCACTCCAGTGCTACTTGGCATTGCAGATAATCAATCCAATTACATGTCTGAACTCTATGAGTTTTTTGTAGCTTGCTAGCAGTCATGCACCCAGTCAAAAAACACCTTTCAACCTATGCTGCAGAATGAAGGCTCATCAATGTGTGCTGCATTTTTGTTGTTAAAAAATTGCACATTTAGATTTCAAGAATGATTTTCTCACTGTTTAATTTACATTAATAAATCTTTTCTAAAGAACATTGAGAGAGGCTATTTTGCATGAAAGCCTATCAAATGTCTGTGAATCAGTTAGTTAACAAGCAACCTTATCAAGAAAGGCTCCTAAACATGATCTCTCATCAATAATTTCTTGTTAAACAACTAAAGGTGCCTTGATATTATTACAGAAAATCTCATGCCATATCTGACATAAGGAGAGATTTAACATATCTTTAAATTAGTAGACCACATGCGTGTGCATGGTGCACCTTGTAGCATATTCACTCACACTGTTGGTTTTGGCATTAGAAAATGGAACACTTTCTAAAAAAGGGAACAAATGAGCTGAAACTGTGTTTGTTTATCATTTGGCAGTTGACTCAATCAGGTCAGTTCCCAACCCATCAGTTTGGCATTTCAATCAGGATCTTACGTTTCAAGAGCATTAGTTTTATAAAAAGCCAGATTTGGCATCATGAATTTTATACAATAAAAATAATTTTTCTACTGTGGAAAAAGAACACTTAAAAAACCTCTAACTTAAGAAAAAAACCCCACGCAACTGAAAAAAAAAACCAAACCCAACCAAAAATTGTTTCAGGCTGTAGCCACTGGGGAAAATGTAGTGTCTATGACATTTCTATTTGGCATTTGTGAATAAAAGAAGAGAGAAAAAAAATGGCACATGGCAATTAAAAAGAGATTCTAACATATTCCATCTAACATCCCAGGTTGTGTCTTAATTATTTCACTACTGTCTTCTGTGCACCTTTCCAAACTGTGAAAATACGGTTAAGTTTAATATCCTTAAGACAACCGTAATTCTTTTTTGCAATTCCAATATTCTAGTCCCAAAAGCGAAGACAGAATGAAGACACGCATGTCAAGAATTTAAAAATCACAGTATCAATAATTTTGATTCAGAGAAAGTACATACTGTAAAATTAGAATGACTGATGACTTAAATTCTGATGATAGTATTCTCTTGACCAAATCACTCAACAGAAAATATTTCACCCAGGAATGCAACTGGGGAAAAAAAGGCCATTGTACCTTGTAAAAGATATCGGGGGGGAGGGGAAGGAGGGAGAGAGAAAGTGGAAACCAGCTTGATTTTGCTTCAATAGCAAAAAAACTGCTATCCTTTGTAAATGTACGACTGAGAATTTAAAACACATTGAGTCACAAGGTTTTGCCTAAAAAATGAGGAAATGTGCTGTGAATGTACTTCAGCATCTTTTTTTTTTCCTCCATATAGTTTAAATAAAACATAATATTAACTACAAACTCTGTGGACATTCACAGAGTCCAGGCCGGCAATAAATTAGTATTATGCAAATTGTTTTCACAGATAATACAGTCCCTCTTGTATATCTTCAATCACGCAAAGTTGGTTTTGGAGGGCCTCCTAGGCACAGTTAGACCAGGTTGTACTCCTTCAGGTTTAACTGTAGGATCGTGTCCTTGACAGCAGCAAAGACGAAGCGGATATTCTCTGTGTCTGTAGCGCATGTGAAGTGGGAGTAGATAATTTTGTCACTGTCTGGATTCAGGTCTACGAACATCTTCAGGATGAACTCTCGTGCTGCTTGTGCATCCCGCTGTGGTCCTGATAATTAAGAAGAGAAAATCAGTTTACTTAAGGTTGATTCAATATTTTCAACTTCTTTAATGGAAAACAAGAAAGACTCAGTCTGTGGTTCTCACGTAAGAGAAGACAGGGAACTTTTTACTAATTAATAGTATCATATACTACTTTCTTTCTGGTAGGAACTATGAAAAATAAAGATGAAAGAAAATTTCACAAGTTCATCAAGTCAGAGCTATCACGTCAAAGCTGACTATCCTCTTTCTTTGGTAAGATAATGTTTAAAACAGGTCATTTATAACTGCATGGAATGAAAAAAAATTAGCTATATGCGCAAATCTTTAAAAATGTTAACAGAATTGGTGAATGTTCAGTCTACACCTGCTATATTTAAATTATACTTAAGTTCTTTTAGCACTGCAACATTTACTAGTTCCATGAGGATTTTAATAAGTAGCATAATGAAGTTATATTCTGTACTGGTCTGACACTGTCACCAATAGAACTTCATTTACTTTAGTAATAATAAAATGCACATGCTCTTCAGCTAAAGCTGTTTGATTCCAAAAGGCTCATGTTCTAACAAATCACTTGTTATCTAAATTATGTATGATAATGATCCTATCAGATCTGAATTAAGGTTGCAATTCTCAGAAGGATAGTGTCTATGTAACCAAACCACATGTTCAGCTTTAGATAAAACAGAAGGTAAAGTAATGACTTCCAGCCTGGAACCATGAGGATTCATTCACGTTCACAGCCAAAAGAGCAGTGCAGAAGCAAGAACATTAGCCAGAAGCTGTTGAATTCTGTTCCATTATTGAAGTGCTGTTTCTGAGGGCCATTATTCCCTTGCTCTCCTGTTTCTGCAACATAGGTTTCTACAGAACACACATGTTTTCTGTGCTGCCTCCTTCTCCTATTCTCTTCATTAGTCCTGTTGTTATATGGCAATATAAATATCAGCGCTCAGCTGTTATATATAGCTCTGTCCTTCAGCAGTTATGAAATCTGTACTTTGGGGGTTAGCACATGCCCACATATTTTTCAACAATTGGATAATAAACCTTATAAACCTGCTAATGTTTCCAATTTGGATAACTCTATAAAATTTAGGTAGGGAATGCATGGAAGAGAAATCACATACTTTCTGGTGTGTTGCAAATGCATCTTGTGGGGGAGTAAAGTTCTGCAATATATGGGTGTACGCACATGAACATATATGTATACACACACCCATACACAGACGACACATTTCCTGAGATTTAGAAATGTAAACAGATCGTAAGCTCTCTGAAGAAGGACAGAGGACTGTTCAACACTTCTACAGGTTCTAAAACACAGCAGGCTCTAGCCTTTGGCTTGGTCACCCAGACTGTCAACAGCAGCAACAATAAGTCTTACCCTACCATGAATAAATTTGCAATATTTGTGAAGAAAACAGACTTTCAAAAGACAATGATTTCTTCAAAATAAACCACTTACTGTTCTAAACAACCTCCTAGAATTTTGTTAAACTGTTTCATAGTAGTTAGACACAGCGCTCTCTCAAAATCTACTGTACTGTTTGAAGTGTGTATCCAAATTTGCTTACCTTATCACACCTCTACGGACTATCATGTAATTTAAATTTTCATCTGACAGAAGTTCAAGTATGGGAAATTGAGGTTAGAAAAAACATTTATGAAAACATAGAAAAAAAAATCAAATGAGTCAATGTTAAATTTAGACTGCAAAGTAGTTGTGATCTAAGTAACGCAGAGACTTAAAGAACTGCCATATAAATCAGTAAGTTTCTTGTCCACTGCTCCCTAATCAGCAGTTTTCGAAGAGCATCTCTACATCATACATTCAAGAACTATGTAAGAAGTACTACATCAATATTTTTCTCTTCTCTGCCTCACAATTATGGGCCTTTTTTTGTCTCTGCCCTCTCTCCCTCTCCCAGCTGTTCATTCCAGCCTATGAGCCAGTCTCTAGTACTAGCCATGCAAGGATGTCTTCATGTGATGCACTGACCCCTCAGCATGCCTCAGCCCCCCTTCCAATGCTGTTAAAATACACCCTGCAGCAGAACTGCTTAGCTTAATTTAATCAGACCAATTTGCCATCCTGGCTAGCCTTTCTCATCCCTATGCTACCTTCTCCCTTGTGCAGGAAAATGGATGGTAGAAGAGATCCAGCTGAAAAATACCTAATTCTGATCTTTTCCTCAGATCTTCCCACCTCTCACATCCCCAGTGTGCTGGAACAGAAAAGAGGACCACATGGTGATCTCTACAAGCCACAGACACCCTCCCCCAAGGAATCAAATCAAACCATAACCTTGCCTATGGAGTTAAGTCCAGCAAGATCTGCAGAATTAAGAGATAAAGACTGTTGAAGACTTCCAGATCTTGACTCCAATAGCCCTCCAATCCATCATCTTTTTTTCCCTCACCAATGGCAAAGGACAGGAGAAATAGGGTTTCTCTGAGCTGAGTGGCTGAGTTTTGTCTGGACAAGCATTTAACACAGGCTTTATTGTCACCTGAGTGGCGATAACTGACTGAATGTAGAGTCTTCTCACATTCAGCATGTTCTCTAAGGAACTTGTCATATGAAGTAAACTCGAAAGAATGAGCGCATTTCTATTCAACTGCCAGTTCTCTTCTGTATAGCACTATGAAACTAAACTTAAACTGACTCATAAATAATACGGTCTGATCCTGCAGGCTGTTCACTGTTTCCTTCCCTTTAAACAGGAAATAAAATGTATGTTTTCCCTATTATTACTTTCCATATTTGAACATGAGCGATTTAATCTTTTATTCAGCTTTCAAATTGGCTATTCACTCCCTGGTAGGACAAAACAGATTTTCTTCTTTTAAAAATAAAGGCATTTAGTTCTTTTGACCTCTTATTCTAGGAGTTTGACTTTTATCTCTTACCAGGCCTTCACTCAGTTACCTCAAAATACTTAGCTTTTTATTTCAAGAGAACTTTCTGAAAGTACGATTTTAGCAGAAACAGCTGTACAATCCACAGAATTTTTTTATGTACAAGCACATTAAGCTTCACATAAATAATGTAAAATTAAAATAAAGGAAAAAAAAAAGTACAATCAAAGGGTGGAAGGAGTGGTACTAGTTCCTATGAGTTCCACCGAGAGCCTATGACACTTCCCCTCAGATAGTCAGTCTTACACAAAACCAAACCTCAAAAAAAAAAAGAGTATGGGAGAGAATGTATAAAAGTGATGAACACATTTTTGTTTCTTTTTAGCTTTTATACTCCAGTTTAAACACTCACCCCAACTTATGAAAAAGAACAGAATGTGGTTCACTGCTAATATGACAATACTCATCTAAAAGTCAACAATTTCCCATGAAAGGTACTGCCATCCTACCCAAAATTAATTACAGTATAAGATGAAATCCTAGCAGCCTAAAAATCCCATAAGAGTTCAATCATATTTTTAAAATGTAAATGATTAAAAATTGCAAAGCACTTTTGTTTTTTTTTTTAAGGAACAAAATATATCAAAGGATCTATCTGTCTAGCATTTGACAGGGCTATTACAATTTGTCATTACTGCGGTGTAAATAGAGCGTGAGCTCTGCTATCATTATACTTACCATCGTACTCTGGAAAGTAATCAACTAGATGGGAGTACATAATTTTTTCCTCTAGGAGATCTTTTTTATTTAAGAAGAGAATAACTGAAGAGTTCTGGAACCATGGATATGTGATAATTGTCCTAAAGAGTGCTTTGCTTTCTTCCATTCGATTCTGGAATAAAAAAAGAGAGTGGAATTTTGGTGGTCATGAAAATAATTTTTAATTTTTTTTAAAAATAAATTCACACAAGTTCACTTTATTTGGTAAACAGATCCATTTCATGTTTTGCACATTCCTACTGATATGTAAGGTTTAAGTAAGTAAATTACAATTAATAAGTAAGCAGTTAAATAAATATGCATGCGTTTTCCTTTTGCAAATTCAACTATTCAAGTGTAAGTATTCTTTAAAACAGAGGTGATGAATGTGAAACCTGTTAACAGGTACATTTGTAAAGTCTGAGCATGCACAGTTATGAGCAGCTAACAAAATGGTGGGTATTGAAATGCATGTGATTCATGGTAGAGACAAGTATACCACAAAAAGACATAATAACCAAATCAAGGTTTAAGAACATTATTTATTTTCTAGGTCTTTCCTGAACTTTAAATGGAGAGTTAGATAATTCTTAGAAAGACATCAGCTTTAAAATACCTGCAGGTAAATTTGGAACCTGAGAACATTTTGTCAACACCAAAGGTTTATGACATAAAATCTTAAAAATCAGTAAATTGCTAAATTTGTTTCTAGTATGATTGGGTTAGCCTTTAATTGCTTAACTGCTCTTGAAAACCTCTTTGCATTATAGCTGAAATGTAAGTGAAGCCTACAGTTCTATTTGTAACACTTTTCTGTCACTGTAAAATTATATTGTGATTTGATATTGTTTTGAAGAACTGTTAGGCTGACATGATGTGGTTCATACAGAGTCAAAACAAACTGAGTTCAAAACAAAGGAATTAATGTACTTTATTATTATTAGAAGCCTCAGCGCCCTAAAAAAACCTGTTTCACCACCAAAGAGCGTTCCAGAGAACAACAAGGAGGTGAATCCTGCAGATTCTGCTGTTGCTGAGCCATACAACAATCTGTAAAATAACTCAGTTTTGCAATAAGTGTATCTTTACTTGTATTAATTTGCATTTTAAAATAACCAACATAAGCATAATAGGAACTTTAAAAAAATCCAAACCAAACAACAAAAAACCTGCAAAAAACCCCCCAAAATAAAAAAAATTTCCATTTTGTAGAAGTTGATGGTTTTGTCTCTGACGTTACCACAGAATCTTCAAGCAATTTATAAAACTTCACTGCATGCTGGAGTAGTTGGTTAAAATAAATAGGAAGATTTATAGATTAAGCAACTAATGCAGATGAGTAAAACCGTTGCTTTCTTGCAGTCAGTTCTTATGACTCACATTGATTTCAATGGTGACAGGATTTCATTCAGAAAGGAGAAAAATCTAAATGTCAACAGAGATGAGCATAAAATCTAAGTCCTTTGACTGACTGTTAATCAGACCATGTTTTCTTCTCAACATTCTATACAGACTTCTTCTCTAAACAAGACCTTACAGAAAGGCAATGGGAACTACAGAGGATATTTTTCATTTTTACAGCTTGATGAAAAAGAGAAGGCAATGTAAACTTACAAACTACTGTTTAAAGTGTAAATATTTACCTAAACTCACTAACACTTGGTATCTTCTAATGTGACACTCAGAAGGTGAAACAGCATCATGACTCAATTAGCAGTGTTCTTTCACAGTAAATTTATAAGCTATTGAAAACTTCTCAGTAAGAAAAGTGCACAGAAAACACAAAGAAATTACTTATCTAGAGTCAGTATTCCTGCTTTTCACAAAAACCCTTCAAGAGGGCTGCAATATTTCCATCTATAATGCTGAATTTTTTTCATATACATAACACAGAATTGCAAAGACAAAATAATAAAAGAGTTTGGATAAATTTATGACCCTTACTCCAGGAAAGCTCAAGAAAACTGTGTTTTGAAAACACTGTTATTAGACCCAGAGCACATTTTCATTTTCTGTTTGAAAGGGATGCCAAACAAGATGAAGCAGAAAAGGCAAGCAGATTATAAAGCTACACTGATATCATGCCTAAAAGAATTTTTGGCATCCTATCAGCTAAAACATTAACTCTGTAAGTGCTGTGTATCATAAAAATAACAGGAAACACACACACTAAAGAAAAAAAGATTGTCTTCAATGTAAGAAGAGTATGTCTTGTATTATATATTAATTATCAATTCTGTGTAATATGAATTGCATTCCACAGAGTCATTTTTTTCCCATTATAAATTTATAAGGCATCTGACTTAAACTTCTCCTTGACAAGATAGCTAGTAAGGATTCCACTCAATATTAAGTTATTATCCTTAATCAAAAAGATTAAGGATATGTCTGGTTGTCTTCTCTGAATGTATGTCACATTGCAATACTCCACAGACAAACATGCCTTCACAAAAGACATACGTAATATGATGGTACTGCTAGAATTTTAAAAAAGTCAGGTCAGTTCCATGGATTCAATGAAGATTTCACATCATTCATATATTTATCAAGTGTCTTGCAAAGCCTTGTAAAGTTATTAATCAAGAAAAATTCCTTTTCAGTTCATTGCATGAAATATATAACATTATGTATATATTACTAAATGACTGCCATGGTCAATGCTATTTCACTGGAAGAAAACCTTAATCTTAAATTTTCCTACAGACCTTGCTTATTTTAGCATTTGTATCATCCACGGGGATCCTCTGAATGAAAAATGTCAGTTGCATATGACAGCACCATAAATTACAGGGCTGTTACTGCAGTCATATGTCACATTAACATCATAGTTTTGACATCTAAAGATCAAACCAAGGAAATCTAAAATCGTAACTGAATGCTAACTCTGGGGGTTTTTGTTTGTTTTGGTGTGGTTTTTTTTCCCTTTCTTTTGTAACTTTATTATGCATAGACCTAATAATAACATCATATTTGAAAACTCAAGGGGACTCGGTGGGGGGTATGGACCTAGTAAACAGACGTCCCAACTTCACACTCAGGTGGTTTGGGTTTTGGTTTTTTTAACTATATTTTTCTGCCTCTTCTTAGTGCCAGAAACTGCATTTATAGTAGGGACAATACTATCAAAGTGTAAGAAAACAAAGTACTTAACGTGTCCTAAAGAGAAGACAGATACTCACTGTATATTTACCAAGCCTGTATCTTCTCTTGGTGCGTAGTCATAGCATGATAAAACCTAAAGGGTCCATCTCTTCTGTTCCCTCCCTAACTACCACCTTCTGGCGAGTGGTTTTTCCATAACCAAACCCTTCCTTAACAAGTGAGTATAATTCTTACAGTTGCATAATCTATAGGAAATCTCACCAGCTTTTTCCCTTGCCCTACCCTTAAGAGGAAGGTAGACAGGATCTTGTTAAGTACGTCCTAAAGTCTCAGCACTTTTTAAAAAGTATCCCAAAAGCCAGCACTGTAAACTTGAAATTTATGAAAAACAATCAGCCTCTGGCTTCTCCTTTTGAAACTATTCCACATATTGAATCAAATAATCTGCTTTTCATAGTTTCTGTTTTAACAGAGAAGAGTCAGAAACTTTAAAAGAAGGCAAAGGCACAACAAAAGAAGCACAGAAATGAAATGTTATAGCTTCAATACTAATGGAAAGTGATGGATTTCCTAGGAAAACATTGCAATCTGTATTTTGAATTTAAGGACTGTTTTTGTTAAACTTGTCACTAAAGAACTCAGCGTAGTTATAAAGAAGAGCAAATGCAGTCAACTTATGTGGGGGTAGCTAATAAATATCCAACACAAGCTCTGAAGATGAACATTAAGAGAAGAATTAATGTCTTATGTTATTAACATGTAAAGAAGCTGGATTCAAAGTACTTTAGTTACAATTCTAACTAGAAATATGAATGTACTTCTGCGAAGCTACTCTTTTGCTTATCATTAGGCTTTAGTCAAGATCTTGCTCTCAGATGCTTTATTAGAAAAGGGGTAGGAAATTATCATCATATGCTCTTCCATTTCTAAGTAGCTCTTCCCAAAAGGCAACCTTCTACATTCTCTGCACTAAGTCATTTGGATGATTATATCTGGAGAAGAATTTTGGCTTTATTTCACCAGAAACTACTCCTTATGAAATTAGAAACAATAATTTACAGTTTAGTTCCAAAATCGGACTCTTCCTGTAACGCTAATACTGCTCCTACTGAATACACATTCAGAATCTGGCTAACCTGCATGGCTTCCGAGTAAAGACTAGTTCTACTAGTGGCAAAACCACTATAATTAGGTGACAACAGTTACTATTATAAGATATGAAAACACAGAGAGCATGGTTGTGCACATGCACATCAGCAGAGATGCTGCTGCACTGCTGACACCATTAAGCACCATACAACATGAATGAGTAACAACCCCACCTTTAATCTGTTTAAATGTAAACAGCTGGACATGCTCACAGTGACTGTCACACATCTTCCACTGAAATGGCACCACAGTATTGACTCTGAAATATTGGCTGGAAAGCATCTCTGGAGTTCATCTAGTTTAGTCTTTCATTCAAGTAGGCCTACTGACAACACGGGAGCATGTCAGTCACGGCTTTGTCTTTGCAAGTCTTGAAAGCCAGCACAGATGGAGATTTCAACACCTCTCTGGTTTCCCTGTCCTACTGCTAAACTAACATCCAAGAGAAAAATGTTTCCTAATATACAGCCTGAACTTCCCAACACACAATTTGTTATATTGTCTACCTAGAAAAGTTCATCTCCGTGGCACACCTGCAACTCTTCAAATTAGAATTTAGAATTATTAGATTGATCAAAAATATGAAGCTATTAATTTTTTGACTAATTAATCTCTGCTTAACCTTCTGCAGTCTTTCATCTCTCTGTTTATCCAATGTCTAAGAGCAAATGAGTTCTTATGGATGTCATGGCAGTTAAAACTGGTTTTGTTCCAGAAGTAATTTCTCCAACAATACTGCTTATTATTCTCTAGAATTGCTCTTAAACAGATTTTCTGTTGCAGTGATAGCTCGTACCGTTGCATACTCACCATTTTCATTTATGAAACATATATGCAACATAACTGCCATAATATTTCTAATGAGTTTAATTAAAGAATGTT